TGCCTTGGAGTCATGGCTGGGTGGATTTTTGCTGCACTAGGGGGTCGATCCAGTTGGTCCCAATGTGAAATATGTTGTGCTTTCCTTTCTTACCCTGGGTTTTGATACTGGGGTCTCTGCTTCAGTTTTGGAACGCAAATTGGCTGGCTTGGCCTTTTTCTTTAAGCTGCAGGGCTGTAGGGATTACATTAAGGATTTTTGGGTGCAGCAGTCATTGAAAGCGTACTGCAGGGTTTTCAGGTGCGCAAATGGTCAGTGCCTGGTTTCCTTTGCCATGTTGGGTGATCTTTTTGTTCGTCTTGGTTTGGTGTGTTCTTCCGTTTATGAGTGTTCCTTGTTTCGGGCAGCGTTCACACTTGCCCTTTTTGGGGCATTGCAAGTGGGTGTCACGGTCTGGGTCAGGTTCAGAGACCAGTTGCTACAGCAGTTGTAAGGCTTACCTGAAACAAGCAGGATTGGTACACCAGCGGGTCACCCTGGGAATGACGCAGGCTAACCTGAGGTGCGGGGTCTAAGTATCCACCGGTCTTCCCCAGAGCTCCTAATAGTGGAGATGGATTTGGCTGCATGTGAATAACAGGTCGCAGTCTCAGGATCACCCCACCAGGGACAAAAGCGAAGTCAGTCACAAGCCAAAAGTCAGTCACAAACAATATAGATGGCAGCAGTACGGATAAGCGGGATATTGGCTGGAAGGCACAATAATCTGGCAAGGAGGAAGTGCCTGGACATGGTTTTTATAGGAAGTTCATGGGAGAAGCAAGGAGTTCAAGGTTCAAGAGAAGACAAGGCACAAAGCAGGATTATCCAATAGATCAGGTAGAGTATAGTCCAGCATCCCAGGTAGCTCAGTGAGAAGAAACATTGCCTCTCACTGCAGAAGGCCCAGGCTCAATCCCAGGCTCTGACAGTGGGTGAACTTGTTATACTGTCAAAATGGGTGTCGGGGGGGATTTTTCTCAGCAAAGTGTCCTATCTGCCTGACTCGATTAGTCTGTGAATTCCGCGGTCGAAAACTGACCAGTCCGGCATCGGTGCGTGGGTTGTGCTTTTTCGTATTTAGTGTTCTCCCATTTGTCCTGCTACTGCGGTGGAAACTTACCTGGCTGTTCGCGATGGTTTTGTGTTGTCTCATTTTTAGTTCACTTCGGTGTTTATAAAATTTATGGAGGCCACAGGGCTAAATCACTGGTGCTATATACCTCTCACTCCTTTCGCATCAGAGTGGACACGGAGGCTGCCCGGTGGGGTTTGGATGAAGATGTGGTTCGGTGTCTTGGGCACTGGGACTCAGACCGGTTTCGACTGTATTTTCGCCTGCATTTGTTAAGAGCATGAGGGTAGTTGGGGGTGTTCTGTTTGTGGCTCCTTGTACTGGGGTTTTTCATTTGTTACGTGTTTTGCTTGTTTCTTTTTTTTCAGGTGATGAGGTCCGCCTCATTTGGATGTTGTGTCATTCTTATGTGTTTTGGGGGGCGAAGCGGGTGGATGTTAGGCCCAATGGTAGGCAGCTGGGCTTCCCTCGTCAGGTGGCGTAGATCCGTTGGATCGGTGTGCCTGGTATGATGTGGAGCAGGGTGGTGCCGGAAGTGTACCGCTTTGCTTGGTTGGACCAACCCCCCAAAATCTTGGTGTTACATGTGAGTGGGAATGACCTGGGTGCCAGATCTATGAGCGAGCTTATTCGGGATGTGAAGTTAGATTTTTTGCGGCTATGTACTGAGTTTCCTGATATGCTTGTGGTGTTGCCAGATGTTGTTAATAGGACATCCTGGCGCTTGGCCAGGTCAGTGGACAAGATCAACAAGGCACGCATTAAAGTTAATAATAGGTGGTTCGGTTTGTGATGGGGATTTGGTGATTCGCCATCAGGAGTTGGAGGTGGCTACGTGCTGTGGCGGTGGTTGGTCTTTAAAGGAGGAAAGAATTCTGTATGGAGAAATAATCGGGACCCATCGGTGGTTTGGGGACCTCGGTAAATTCTGGTTAACAAGGGGTTAACTCGGAACAGATAAAATGGTGGTCACTGCCTATAAGCAGGGTTATCTCTGAGCCAGTGTGTTGTGGCTGGGGATAAGTAGGATAAGGGGACACCGAGTCGGCGGGTTGCTGCTGGGGGCCTAAATTTAAGGAATGTTTGCCGCAAAAGATAAGTTGGGTTTATTGCCTTCAATTGACAACCACGCTTTCCTCTGTTTCTATTTTTGGAATGTTATTTATATTGAAATCATTTATTGGTTAATAAAAGGCTGCTATGGCCATTTTGACTCCAAAACTTGGTTTGTGATTTTGCATATCTGGGACGGTGGAGGGTATGGCCTAGCAGGCTGGGTTAGGTTGGAAAGCGTATATTCTACCCTTGTCAAGGTAGGCCTGAAGCAAAAAAAAAATAGGCGCAGGGATGACATGACTGGGGGGACATGACTGGGGGGAATAGAGGGACAACCTCTATTAAAAGAAGGGTAGGGAGTTTGAGAGTTATGGCTTACCTGAATGGATGGTGATTTTTGGGAGGGTTCACAGGGAGGTAAAGGAATGTCCGATCCCAGGAAGTCCAGTGGGGAAGCAGGCTGGGTTAGGTTGGAAAGCGATATTCTACCCTTGTCATGATCTCTGCACTCAGTACATAGCACAATCCTGATCTGTTCATTCTGAAAATCGCACACTCCTAAACCCTGCACTCTGTACACTACACACTCCTAAACCCTGTACTCTGTACACTGTGTGCTCCTAAACCCTGCATTCTGTACACCATGCATTTGTGAACATTGTACCTAGCGCACTCCTCAACCCTGTGCTCTGTTGGTAGTGCACCCCTTAACTGCACTCTGTATGTAGCACACTTCTGAACTCTGCACTTAGGAGTACAATCTTGAATCCTGCAATCTGCACATTCCTGAACCCTGTACTCTATAAGTAGCACACTTCTGAACTCTGAATTCTGTATATAGCACATTCCTGGTATGTAATGCCCCTTTAAGACCCTCCCACTCTGAGTGCAATTTAGCCACACCCATGATTTGTTGTAGCACACTATCCCACCTCCCTCTCGGGGGAAATTGGGGTGTGTGGTTGAGTTCCTGAACCTATTCTCTGAGGAAAAAAAGCCTTGTTAATAACTCTATATACCCAGGTATACAGTATGTGCCCAATTCCACCACGACTCTTGTTGGGCCCTTTGCTGACAATACCTTTGTACATTGGATGTACAGTGTGTATTTTCATTAATCTTTTCTTATTTAAAACATTTAATATTTCCACACTGATGTGAATCTATATACTTATAGTTAATGTTATATGCTGTTTGCAGTAGTTCCTCTGTTACCAACTTTTTGTTTACAACACTAAATAATTTCCCAGGAAGGGAATCCGGTAGGCCTTGCCCTGGGTGAAGGAACAGCCATCTTTATTATCAATCCCACTCTTCCATTTAGTGAAGGTTCTAATTATTTACCTACAGGTTAAGTGCAATATACTGTTTGGGGCAATTTCTCATACCCCCTACGCGCGCGCGCACGCACACACACACTCTCTCTCTCTCTACAGTCTCTGTTGCATTTGATACTATTCCACCCATTGTTTTCTGGCTCTTTTTTTTTTATCACCACACATTGCTTTAATTGTATTAGGACAATTATGATTTTAACTAGATTACGTATAACACTTTCATGCTGATCTGATAATAATACCAGATGAGATGTGTTGCATTTTTTAATTTTATGTTTGTTAATTGTGTTCTTTATGCTTGTCATCATTATATTTTATACACCACGGTTAGCAGATGGAAATTTTTAGTTGTTTTTTTTAAATACATATTTCTTCTCTCTCTCTTTTTTTAAATTCAATATACGGTATATCTTCAGGCCTCCATGCAGTAAGATGTGGGGATTTGAAATCCCTAAAGTATGTTGGCTGATTTAGGGACTGCAATGGAACAAGAGGGTTGGTGTGAATTATATATTATTACAATGCTCTTGGGCACCATCCCTCAAATTATTTTCTGCATCTCAACCTCTCGCCCCAAGCCACAGAGGGTGAGGGTATATGAAAAAAAATGGAACTTTTAATGTGACAGAGGTTAAATGCAAATATTAAAAACAGTAATACCTTTTTGTTATAGTGATAATAGATAAAAGAGCATATTGCAAACTCCACAACTATGACCATCTATAAATATTTGATGAATTCCATCATAAAACACATATATTTGTATATGTCGATGTATGGCATTTAAGATCAACGCGTTTCACAATTAATTTGCTTCTTCAGGGACTGCGCCAAACACTATTATTGGATGGTCTGTTCTTATAGATTTGTTATCACCTCCATATGGAGACCACAGGTTACCAGCCACAACAGCAAACAAACCAAAAAATGGGGAAGGGTATTAATGGTACCAAAGATAGAATCAGCAAATAATCCCAACATGCAATTTGCATGAGGAGTCGTCTATGTATGAAAACAAAACCCAAATTCACAGAAATGGTACCTCCTGCATTGCAGACCATACATAACCTCCCACAAATAGCTTCCAGACATGACAGCTGATTCACAATTGCCCATAACACCTCACCAATGGGCCAATACTGAAGCAAAAAGGAAAACAAATGTGCACCATCTGTCTCACCAGAACAACACCTTTTCATGTAAAATTTGGGATCTTCAGTGTTCCTGGAATCTCACTGGAAGGTGTATAACTACACGCTTGCCTAGACGCCAGGGGGGATGTTGTAGCATAAGGTAAGTATATGTGTTATTTTTCTCTTCAGTTTTTTTTAACCTTGAATGCAGACTTTTAATTGGGATGTGAGACATGATATTTTGATGCAAGGTCTGCTTTAACCACTTACCTACAGGGCACTTTCACCCCCTTCCTGCCCAGGCCAATTTTCAGCTTTCAGCGCTGTCGCACTTTGAATGATAATTGCACGGTCATGCAACACTGTACACATATGAAATTTTTATCATTTTTATGAGACAGAGCTTTTTTTTGGTGGTATTTAATCACCACTGGGTTTTTAAATTTTGATAAACCAAAAACAACTGAACATTTTGAAGAAAAAAAAGTTTTTTTCTTAGTTTATGTTATAATATTTTGTAAATGAGTAATTTTTCTCCTTCACTGATGTGCGCTAATGAGGCTGCAGTGATGGGCACTGATAGGCAGCACTGATGGGCACTGATGAGGAGGCACTGGTAGGTGGCATTGATGGGCATTGAAAGGGATCAATGGTGGGCATTCACAGACATCACTGGGCACTGAAAGGCAGTACTCATATATGGCACTGATAGGCTGCACTGACTGGCACTGTTAGGTGGCACTGACGGGCACTGATAGGCAGCACTGACTGGCACTGATAGGTGGCACTGATTGGCAGCACTGATAGGTGGTACTGACTGGCACTGATAGTTGGCACTGAAATGCAGCTCAGATGGTCACTGATATGTGGCATTGATGTGCACTGGTATGCACTGATATGTGGCATTGATATGCACTGATGGGCACTGACAGGTAGCATTGATGGGCAATGACAGGTGGCACTGATGGGGCTACACTGATCATTAGGGCGCTGATCATCAGTGTAGATGTCCCCTCTGAGAAATGCTGATTACTGTGACAGCTCATGAGGAGAGAAATAGCCGATAACTAGCATTTCCATATTTACATGCGATCAGCTGTGATTGGACACAGCTCATCACATGACAGAGCCGAAGCCATCGACTCTTTCCGCTGATCAGTGATCCGCTGTGTCCCAGGGACACTGCGCACCACCAATCGCCATGCTGCGTGCCCCCGGAACTGAATATTAGCAATGAAATAAATAGCATTTTTGGTTTGTGGTGCTCAGATGCAGTACAGTTCCATGTTAAGCAGTTACAGCAACAGTTTTGTTTCTTTTGGGATAAGGTTTTACTTAAATAAAATCTAGCAACTGTAAGCATCCCTGTCAGTGTTAAATGGTTTATCTAACCCTCTAACTGCTACATCTGCAGGACAGCTGTTTCTGCTGAAAAACAACAGACTTACTGGCAGGATCAAAAGTAATATCACTAATGAGCAATCAAACATAAATATAAGATATATAAACACGTTTCGTGCACCAGCATATCTTCAGAGGGGACTGCCAATGATTGCTGGAGCACGAAAATGCGTAAGTAGGAGCCAATTACGCCGTGACGTCACGCCATCGGAGCATCGTGGAGCTCCGGCGGCCATCTTTACTCCTGGACAGTTAGTCTAGTCTCTGTCATATTGTTCATATTGTTTTACTTGAATGCATATATTTGATTAATAAATTAATAATAAAACATACTACACTATGGGCATCTTTTATCCTGACTCCTTTAGGGAGTACTGATTTCCTAGACGCCCAGTGCCAGCCCCAAGCCTCCAGAGATGGAGCCTCCTGTTAAGTCTTTGCGAGCTGCACCCATCCATCAATTAAGGGGAACTCTGGACACCGTTGGATCATCCATAAAAAGCCCCAGGATCTATCCTACCCTGAGAGAGAGCCATTCCTTCACCTGACCTGGCCCAAAAGATCCTCTCTGATGACACCAAGATTTAATATACAATGCGCATAATTACTGCGCGTCCAGTGAGTGTGCATTTCTTCTGTTTTTGAAAGCACAAGCACCGACCACAACTATCATTACTAGATGGGCACCAATACGAACTATCGTTTATATATCTTATATTTATGTTTGATTGCTCATTAGTGATATTACTTATGCATTATATGGACTTTGCACCTATTCATTATTATTAGGTTTTTAGCGCTGCACCTATATACTTTTTGTCTATTTATGGTTTTATTTTTAAATTTTTTACTCTGATTTTATAGTGCGCTCACATATACATACCATTTACTGGCAGGATCACCAAGTGAAGAAAACCAGTCTTCCCATAGATGGAACAAAATTTGTCTGGTCCATGCTGAAGCAGCCAAATATTTATCCATCTATGGCTGGCTTAAGCTGCAATATAATAAACATTCATTTTTAAGTTTAATACCTATTTAATATGCATGGATCCTATTGATGTGATAATAGTTCTTTAGAGATCTTTTCCTTTTTTTTTTTTTTTTTTTTAGCTGTGTCTCTTCTTCCCCACAGGAACATAGAACAATGTGGATACATATTAGGAGGATGTAGAACTGTTAGGAATTTATTGAAAAAATTGCAGAGCTATTTGTCCTGTTAAATGACACATACAATTGTTCTATGTGCAAAACAAATGTTATTAGGCTATTTTCTCTCCAGGTCGAATGTTCATCATTTTTTTTTCAATTAAAGTGAATTGGGAAAATACCGCATTATAGCCACTAGATGAAGCTGACGATCATAGTAAATAAATATTTATTTCCTATGATCATCAACTCTATCTGTTGGCTATAGTTCAGTTTTCTTTCGATTGGTTCTATCCTGTGTGATTGAAAAACATTCAACCTGGTGTTAAAAGCCCAATAACATTTGTTTTTGCCTCTATAAGCACAGAATGAATGAACATACAGTTTCACACAATGGATATCTCTGCAACCTTTTTAAATGCACCCCTTTAAGCGGTTCTTCAACCTTTTAAAAAAAAAAATTAAAAGGTCAGCAGCTACAAATACTGTAGCTGCTGACATTTAATAAAGAACACCCACCTGTCCAGGGGTACATTGCTGTGCTCACCCAAACCATTTCATCGCTGGTCTTTGGGTCCCTGGTGCTGGCATGTTTACTGCAGGCAGCTGGCTATGTTTCCTAGGAGCTTCACAGCCAGCTACCCACTGCAATGGAAATCGTCCTGCAGCCTTCTGGGACCTGTGATGGGTGGGTGGGGGAACTTCTAGTGGATTGCCACAGTGATCCAACCAGAAGTGGGAGCAGGTACATGTCAAAACCAGGTGCCCCCCCAAAAAAGGGTACAAAAGAAGGGAGGGGTGGCATAAAGCAAAACTTCTCTTTTAGAGTAAAGTTCAACTTTAAGTCCTCATGCACACTTGATGGTTTTACAGCGGCTGTTTTTGGCTTTTAAAGTTTTTTCTACAGCCAGTAAACCCCCCTGCATGTTATCCTATGTGTCCGTACACACATAGACTGTAATCAATGTTTTTTGGCTGGAAAAAAACCCAGGACTAGTGGGTTTCTAGAGAAGTTTTTTAGATGTAAAAACGCTCTAACGCTGAAAAACACGGCAAAATGCGGTAAAATGCCACAAACTGGCATTTTTTGACTTTTTTTGACAAAAAATATTTTTTTTTTGGGAAAAAAAATGCTAATAAATGCAAATGAAGAAAAATGTGGGAAAACGTGGCTAATCACGGCAAAAAGCACTAAACGCTAATGCAAAAACGCTAAAAAAAAGCTGAAAAACTCAAATTTTTAACATGAATTTACACACTTAACGTTACCAGCGTTATCAAAACGCCCCGTGTGCATGGAGCCTAATGATGCTGGGGCCAGGAAAGACAAGAGGGAAAATGAGGCAACCCTCAGAACATAGAATAGGTAGGCTCTGGGACATATCAGATAAATCAGAACTGTTGGAGGCTGTGTAGTACAGGGAAGCGGGACCAGATCTGGCCCTGCTCCTAGGACAGATATAGCCACATGGGCTCCTATGTCTATAGTGGCACCCCTGTTCATATAGGAAATATAATAATTTCTGTAGTTGAATACAGTTCAGTTTTGGGCACCAATTCACAAAAAGAACATTGGGGAACTGGAGAAAGTACAGAGAAGGGCAACCAAACTGATAAGAGGCATGGAGGAGCTCAGCTATGAGGAAAGATTAGAGGAATGGAATTTATTCTCTCTGGAGAAGTGGAGATTAAGGGGGATATGATCAACATGTATAAATACATCAGTGGTTCATATAGTGACCTCGGTGTAGAGTTATTCACTCTGAGGTCATCACAGAGGACAAGGGGGCACTCTTTATGTCTGGAGGAAAAGAAATGTAATCTCCAAACACGGAAAGGTTTCTTCACAGTGAGAGCTGTGAGAATGTAGAATAGACTCCCTCAAGAGTTGGTTCTGGCCAGCTCAGTGGATTGTTTCAAAAAAGGCCTGGATTCTTTCTTAGATACACAGAATATAACTGGATACTAACATTTATAGGTAAAGTTGATCCAGGAAATATCCGATTGCCTCTCGGTGGATCAGGAAGGAATCTTTTTCCCAGCAGGAGCAAATTGGATCATTCTTTGCTGGGGTTTTTTTTTTTGCCTTCCTCTAGATCAACTGTGGGTATAGGATTATAACTTTTTTTTTTTTTTTATGGTTGAACTGGATGGACTTTTGTCTTTTTTCAGCCATACTGACTATGTAACTATGAATAGAGGTGTTACATTTTCTCAAACTAAAAATGAATTTATCGTGCAACTTCCTTGCTGACACCCTAACACTACTATTACTCACCAGAGGATATTTAAATAAAAAACAGAGTGAAGTCTGATAAAGCATGTTGAGTCTAAGCTATTCTGTCAAGCTGGGATGAGCGGTATGGCTAGAGAAAGGCTGAAGGAATGCTTCTTTTTCCTAATTAAACCTCTTGTTCCTGCTGCGATGGCACAAATTAAGCAGAAGGTTAAATCAAAATTGAAAAATTTCACCCTTTCCCTCTAGTATTGTATACCAACAGTGTATCTCTTCTATTGACTAGAATAGACTGGCCATCTCGATGATGAAGAGGAACAATCACCTGAATTGTGTATTTCAGCCAAATGTTGTTAGGTGTTTTGATAAGACCCAAGGAAGCGATGGGCTATTGGAATTAGTCCTCAGTTTAGACAGGGAGTTAAAGTGGTATTAAACCAAAAATGTGTACGCTGTAGCTTACCAGTTTCTAAATGTGGTGGCTGCATTGTTTTTTTTTTTTCTAGGATTTTTTTTGGCCTTATTTCAAACCTGTTGATCTGGCCAGTAAGGTAGGAATAAAAAAGCAACCGAATTCCTGAGCTGGACAATGGACTCCACAATGTCAATATTTCCACATGTGTATGAAAGGAATGCAAGCCTTGCTGCCCTCAATGGACCAGGGAAATCCAAAGAAAACTGTATATAAAAAGACAAAAAGAGGGCGCATGGGCCTAGTGCATTACCTTTAAAAATGAAATGTATTGATAAAAAGTAAAATACTCACAAGAGAAATAAAATCAAATGAAAAGCATGTTACAGAAGATGCAGTGTGTTCCAAGACCCCTGAAGGTAGTCTGGTGGGGGACTGTAGACCTCTGGATAGCTGATGGCTGAAGCATTTTGAGGCTCTGAGGAAGAGGTACAATCTCGATACGCAGCCTTCATCAGCTATCCAGAGGTCTACAGTCCCCCACCAAACTACCTTCAGGGGTC